AATACAATTAGCAGTTTCTTCCTAATGAGTTCATTGGTGCAGTACTGCAGGCACAAGAACAGAGAGCATCACCATCTCTTTATATTTCCAGAATTGAGTCCTGATCAAATCCCTCATGTCCAGTCTGGACCACCACAGAGCAGGACAGGGAATCAGTACTGCATCTAAAGAATAACTTATTAATGTCACTGGAGGTCATTAATAACCTGTTATAGTGCCATTGTATCACATGGTATTAAAACAAATGATGAGGATGTCAGGCAGCACTGTGGCGCAGTGGCTAGCATTGCTAGGTCCTGGGTTCAGCTGTGGACCTGGGGTTCTACTGTAGTGTTTCTGTGTCTATATGCGCCCTGTGATGGACTGGTGTCCCATCCAGGGTGTACCTGCCTTGCATACACTGCTTACCGGGATAGGCTCGGTTTCCCCCGTGACCCTGAATTGGAAGAAGATGTAAGGGAAATGGATAGGTGGATAGATGGATAAGGATGTCCATGGGAAAAAAAACATTCAGTGTGTTGTCCATGAGTCCTAGACACTCTATGAGCAACACACAGATTTCTGCACAGTTAATCAGTCACGTTGTTCTTTCTGCTGAGATCCATCTCACTAAACCCAGAATGGAGCTGATTGGAGCATGGGTGAAGGCCTGCCACTCAGCGGCAATTAGCAGGAGTTGGCCTTCTTACTTTCCCTGATCATCTTCTATAGCAAACTGTCCGATTCAATCAGCTGCTGGCATCAAATCTGGATGCCGTGAAAATGGTTTGATCGGATTACGGATTTGCAGCCAGTGGGAATAGCAATGAACTGAGGAAGTGCTACTGCAATGACCTTGAGAATAGCCAAACGATGACCAGACTAGAAGTAGAAGCAGAGCTTGTGGAAAAAAAAAAAAACAGGTCACCTTTTCAATACAAAATGCGTGGGAAGGTTGCATTACAAAAAAGCTAAAATGTTAAATGAATTGGGAATCCAACGCTACTACAGACTCCTTGGAGGCTATGCATTTCAGAGAGCAGAGCTTGGACTTCCTTATGGAAATCACTCTTTATAAAGCACAGTGATTCTTTATTGTCTCCTTAACAACCCTGTTTTTTCTGTCAAGTGACCTTAAAATGTGTTCTCATTAACCTTCATTTTTAAATTATTTAACCACTTCACAATATGCTCTCTCTTCTTGGAAGAGGAGGTCAGGAACTCACACGCAGAATGTTTTAAACTCCTCTCCTCTGCGTTTAGATCTTAAGGGTGGGTTTTATACACAAACGTGATGTCAAATAGGAGGGTCAAATAGGTCATTCGTTTTTTGCATTTTTTAAATTAAAAAGTTATGATGCATATGTACTGTTCTGGGAGGTGCAAAGGGCCGAAGAATTTGTTATTCTACCACATCTCCCCAGTATTTCTCCTTTTATAATCACAAGCACCGATTAATAACATTGAGTCCTGTTAGAGCTATATTATGAATGCAGCAAAGAACAACAATAATGTTAACTTCAAGGCACATCTGACAATGTGTCAATTATATTTGATTGATCAGTGTGCAAGACAGGCTACTGGAACTATTGTTTGCCTTGAATTCTTGTGACCCGCATGTTGAGCATTATGAGAACTGGAAATTAAACATTTTTAAATGACAAGATGGCTTCCTTCTCACCAAAACTAGGCTGTAATAATAGTAGGAAAGACTCCTGCGGTCTTTGAGTGAATTGTTCAGGTTCCAAACAAGCCTCGTAATCATTGCATTGCTTGGGTCTAATTGCCTGAGTCTTCTGCATATATTTTAATACCTTGCGAGCCGCACAAGTGGAATTCACTGTCGGTTCAGGTAAACTCAGGTCAGCATGAAGGCCACCATTTACTGGTCCGACAAAGAAAAGATCGGCAAGCCCAGAGAGGGAGGCAATTTGCATATGTAAATAGCATTTGTGATGCGCTGAAGGGGGACAGTCGAGTCATGGCTGATTGCTTTAGGAAGTGGAGAAGCCTTTGTGAGAGCCACACATCGTCACCACTAACGAGCACAGCAAACAGGCCGCTGAGCTCCGGCCCATTGTCCCAGCTGAAACAAAGTGTGTCCTCAGTCTGCAGTAAACAGAGGCCTTTTGACAGTCCCAACACCGGCTTTCAGCAGAGCCAATGAGCCTGAAACTCTCACACAAAACTGTGATGGCTTTGACACCAAGGGGACTGGAAAACCATTCGTACCCCCCTTCTCCCCCCAAAAACTTTGCCCTTATTAAATGGGACAATTCTGCTTTATCCTAAATGCAAAAACTCTTGATACAAAATGTTGCTCACCTCCGAGCTGCCCGCTCAACAGCCTGTGGTTTCACATGCTTCAAGCTACCCTCCAGGCCTCTGCTGCCTGTCTCACAGTACAAGGCTGTTCTTTCCCAAAGGTAGGAGGACCTTTATAAACATGTACCTGCAGGAATGCTTAACTTCTGCAACAAACAGCTTTTGGTTATTGAGATATTGAAAAGTGTGTACTTTTCTCCTTTCAGATACTGTTGAGAAGATCTCATTCAAAGGGACAGGACTGCTGGCCCAAACCCTGCTCGGCCCATAGAGGGGACCACTCTTGCCCCATGATAAAACAAGGTTCTCCTTCTGATTGATTTGGCTGACGCTTGTATCCAGGGCCTCTTATGTTTGTCCCATTAATACAGCTGACTATTTTACTGGAATAATTCACTGGAAGTATCTTGCTCAAGGGTTAAACAGCTGTATCTCACCTGGGATTTGAGCCTGCAGCCTTCCAGTTACCACTCCAGCACCCTAAGCCTTGCTCCACACTGGGAGAAATTGCC